TCAAGACCGATGACTATCTGTCCAACCACATGTCCCCTTAGAGAGTAGTATATTGCGGGCCCCAAACATCCGGTTTAAGCCCCTTTCCTGCTCTCGGAACCTGAAACGTCCCAGGGATTCAAGGAAAAAACACGTGTTCTCAAGTGAATCAACCAAAGACCAATCCTGCAAATTGATATTTTTTTTTCTACTTTCACTCTCAACTAATAACTCTTATTTATTATTTTTTTTTTTTTTCCCCAAACAATCGAGATCAAAATTATCCACTAAATTTAATCCTGAAAAATATCATAATCTGTCATTCCAATGAAAAAATTTATTATATTAATAATAAAAATTTATAAGTAAATCACATCGATAAATAAAATAATTTAAAAAACAACGTTCATTTACCGGAAGTGGTTAGCAATTAGTAAAAAAGATAAAATTATGTAAATAATCCACGTAACTAAATACGTAGTAATAAAGAGCTCATCTTGAATTTGTAAACAGTTTCAACTTGCATAAGCACACCTGAATCATGATCCACTCATCAGCGCCACATCGTCACAGCGCAGTGGAAATAACATTTTATTAATAATAATATAAAATCATAATGATAATGATAATAGTAATACTGGTATTGTGCATACAGAAACAAATTCTGTACATATATATATATATATATACGTTAAGTGTGTACTGACCACACGCCACTTTTTTTTATTTTCTTCATTATACTATACGTATATATATTTATATTTATATTTATATTTATATATGTACGCACAAAAGAGACGGATAGTTGGCAGTAGAGTGAACAGATCGCGTGTCGATCCCCGCCAAGATATTTGTTTGTTACTTTATAGTTGTGTCACGTCTTCTTGACTATAGGGGAAAACAACCATTGTTTGTAATCAATAAACGTGTTTATTTTTATTTTTCATCATCATTATTATTAATAATAATAATTTTTTTTATAGTTGTTGCTACCTTTTTTTTTTTTTTTTTTTATTAAATTTTTAAAGGGTGTTTATCATGTTTTAGCGCTAAAAAATATTTTTCAAATTTAATAGAGTATCGGTATGAACGAGTAGTCCTAGATTTAGAGGATTTTACTCTCTAAAAATGAATCAGTGGAATTTCACTGTTTCACAGTTATGTCTACCAAGTGGTATACTTATAACTGTGAAACAGTGAATTTACTACTAATTTCCAGTGATTTTCACTGTTTCAGATTTAGAGAGTAGGGAGTAGAGTAGACATAGTCATCACATGTATAATAGTAGTAATTTATAATACTATATAATATAGTCTACAGTGGTATACACTGTGTGAAAAAGAAAAAATGTCAACCGGAAAAAGATCTATAAATGTGTAGCTGAATCTGATGGTGATGAAACATTAGAAGGAAGTAAAAAGGGAAGATGGAGAACCGTAACCGTAACCGGCAACCGACAACCGACAACCGGCATAACCAAGAAAACGACGATTCCGTAGTAAGATGACGCCTTACTGGCGCCATAACTTAACATTCTTCAAGAACCACACAGGATCCCATAAAGAATATAAAAATCTATTTTCTCGGGTTTTACTGCCTAGCCGCATTTTTAATCGACGTTTTTATTTAATTAAATTGCCGCTTTTATAAAAAAAAAAATTTCATCATTTTTTTATTTCAAATACTTTTAAATAATTATAATTAAAAATTTATTAAATTTTATTGTAAGAACAAGTTCTATTTTTATATTATTTATCAATAAAAGATTCATCATTTTAAATTACTATGGAATTTTATTTAAATTAATTCAAAAAAAAAAAAAAAAAAAATCAGTATCGAAAAAATAAAAAAAGTTAAATACCAAAAGTAAATTAATAAAGAGAAAATAAACATAAAGTAATATTGTATATACGACAGGTAATAAGAAGACAATTACGTGAGTTAAATGAACCGGGGAGTGAATAATGTTTAGCCAAGAATGGAATGGCCAAGTGAGGATTAAAGTTGCTCGCTGGTTAAATGGTTAAAGGTTTTCAACGCTTGCAGATATAAGATTACAATTTGTACGCAAAGCTTACCAGCATATTCAGACAACATACACACATATACATAGATATCTAAACATATGTGTGTATAATATAAAGAACGAAGCAAAGTTCTGCTGCTGCGTTATTACTGTTGATGTTGTTAGTGGTGGTGGTGGTGCTGCTGCTGCTATTGCTGCTGCAGTATAAGGGATTGGAAAAATAACTTGGGATAATAACACACATAAATCAGAATTTTTAATATTCGAGGGCGTATTAGTTTATGTAAGGTGTAGTTAAGTTATTCCTCTTAATTTTTCTTTAGGCCACCACCGAGTCAGCAGCCAGCCCGCGATCATCCACCTGCCTGGATGGACAATCCTTTGGTATTAGGGTATGAGGAATATCCGATTTAGAATCCCGGATTAGTTAGGTTAGTTAGGTTATTCACACAATGTATTATGTATACTACTGATAGCAGGAGGAGTCTAGGAGTCCGATGAGACTCTAGATGAGGATACTGGCCACTGGGACTCGAAATAATCGTAATACTAATACTAATGTGAGATCGGTATATCATTTTGTTGTAGCAGGTCCAAAGAGCTCTCTGACTAGATATCCTCCAGGTATAATATATACGCCTACCTCATTCCTTGTTAGCTTTGTTAGCTTTGTTAGCTGGGTTAGCTTGGTTAGTTTGGTTAGCTTGAGTTTACTTAGTCCAGAGCTTCGCATTTGGATACTTCCTTCCACCTCAAACGTTACGCCTGCTATTAGCTCATCGTTAACTACCGTAGGTAGGTTCATCCACTACCCAACTATTACTATTGTTATTGTTATTATCATTTATCTTTTTTAAGAGACTTGTTTTTATTTATCTTTTTATCTTATTTTTAAAATATCCAATATCCATCAATAGAATATTGTCAAATATTTAAAATTTGTGCTACCAGTTTTTAGTTGATCAAGTGATATAGATATACGCATTAGGTTTGTCAGCCTCTGTTGTATTAGGATTTACTAAGTAACTAATACTTTATCTTTAACTAATTATCTTTTTGAAGAGGATTTAAACAAACATAGGGAACTGAATTAGGGGCGTTACTTTGTTTAAATCAACCTCCAGCTACGGATTATCAATTTTATTCTCAATCGATATTTGTCTAGAGCAAGTAATTGGAATCTTGTGATACCCCTCATTATTTATTTTTTAATTAAAAACAAAAATCAAGTTACATTTTAATCGTTTCACTCCTTGTAATATTAATTTCATTTAAATAATAATTATTGGTAACTATTGGATAAAAAAAATTTCATTCATTAATGTTTCGTTGAAATCAATTTCCCAGCAAAAAAAACTTGATGTTTTTTTTTTTTTTTTATAACTCTTTAATATAGACTCATCTCCATATGTACTTTAGATACATTCATAAATGTGATAGTAAAGAAGAATCATGTGTTTTTTATGTTAAAACTTTGAGTTTAAATATATTAAATTCATAAAGAAATGAATTACTTTTTAAATGTTAAACGTAAAAGTAATATATATGATTAACCACTAATAACTTGGATAAATAATTGAATAATTACAAAAGCAATAAAATACACCTTTAATATTGTCCTGAAAGTCACGATTGAACCTAAAAGAGCATATCCAGCGATGCTAAGCACGTAATCACGATGAGACATAATAGACACACGCGTCCACATCATACAATATATACAATAACAGAAACTCAAACAATACAATCATCCAATCCGACTTTACAAAGCATACTTTTAACTACTGAATACACCGAGCACTTTTGTCCGTGTTCATTCGTCAGACTTTGGTGTCACGTACATTCTGATCATTATACGGGTTGTAAAAAACGATAAAGTGAGACAAAGAGGAAAAAAAAAAAAACCTAAAATTAAATAAAAGTGAGTAATCAAGTGGAATCATGAATTTTTAAAAACCACTGTTTCTCGTTTATTTTTCCTATTTTTCAGATAAAACCTTCACAAAAATAGAGAGAAAAAAAAATATTAATAGCCAGCTTTTGTTGTTTGAAAAAATTTTTTCACGCTTTTATCAATTTTACAATAGCACTATACCTACATTCCAGTAGTTAAAACGTAAAATATTAGCATGTTAATGAAAAAAGAAAAAAGACCCCCAGTGTTATTTTAACCAGTTTTTTTGTAAATTTAATTAACATTTTTCGATTGTTTTTAATTAAAATGATCGATTATTTAAAATAAAGTAATAGTGTACGTTTAAAAGAGTGTAGAAAAAAATATTTAAATGAAACACTGAAGCCGGGAATACTCTGGAGTATTAACCGCCGAGGTACACACGTACAATTTCAAATAACTATAGAGAGGTGAGTTACCGGTAAGGGGTACGAGTAACAACAGTCTGTATGATTGCCACGGGGCCATTTGAATTTATTGACCTGTCATCACGATCAGCTCTCGAAAATTGGGAATTTGCCACTCTCCAGGTGTCAAATTTTATAGAGTTCTGTTGTGATGATGATGATGATGATAGTAGTTATTATTATTATTATTATTATTATTATTATTATTATTATTATTATTATTATCATCATCATCATCATCATCATCATCATCATCATCATCATCATCATCATCATCACCATCATTAGAGTACGGTCACCACTTTGAAAGATCATCATTAACTCGTATATAACGTATATAAAAAAATATTGGGGTGTAACTAAAACAAAAGAGATCATTTCTCACTCTATTGCAGCACTTAACGGTAAGCCACATACCCGTAATTATATTTTCAAAGCGTTTATTATATCATGACATGGTTATACATCAAACAGGGTTAACCCTCGATACATTATTTACCTTGCTGCCAGTGTACGGGTCTATTATACTAAAACGGTGTTTCTTGGCTTTGAATTCTCAGTTATCAAACATATCAACACCTCGGTCATTTATTATAGAACAATAAATTATTAAAAATAGTTATTAAAACTCACCCTCTGCCTTGTCAGACGTGGCTCCTCTGCTGCTAGTTTGGCTAGTGCTTGATAGTCACCCTGAGCTGCTCGGACTAACCATTCTCGTGCTTTTCCATCCAATTGTTGCTAAAATTAATAATCATACTGTAATTTCTCTAACACAAAAGTAATTTATCAAAAATAATTCAATTTATGGATAAAAATGACATATATATTTTCATCAAGTTAATATTGTAGTAATTAAAAAGATTAAGTATTTTAAAAATTACTTACAGATGCAACGGAAGCACTGTCATCCTCATCGGTACCCTGTAACAAGCCAATTAATAATATTGATAAAAAAAAAAAAAAAACGATCAGGTGGTAATTAATAATAATAAAATCTAAAATATGTTATGCAGAAGAATAGAATAGAAAAAACAATGGATATAAGTGGGCGGAAGAATTACTCGGTCTTGTTGATTAATGAATGTTCATAGGCATAAAATTGTTTGTCGTTTGATTCATCATGGGCATGGGATTACAGAAAACTCGTGACACCGAGTTCATAAGGTATAGTTATTTTATTAACTATACCCATCGTGACTTTTAACAAAACTATGGCGGTCGATCTCCAATCTTTCTATAACCTTAGGCCTTCTATCTATACCATTCTTTATTTTCGCCAAGTCATTATTAAATACAATTTACAATATCTTTATATCAATCACAACATTAAAAATTCAACTTGGGCTGTACTCGAGCCATACCTTACCAAAACTTCTCTAACTAAATAGCAGGAGATCTTAAACTTAGAGCGTGTCGAAGACCGGGACTGGAACTGGGACTGACGCGATGTGTAAATCAAAACACTTGTTTACCTGTACCAATCATCAGCTCATTTAATTTATAAGTAATGAATTAGTAATGACTAATGATAATATATTTTGAAAGTGATACATATAAAGATAAAATATCTTTTACTTTTTTTTATCAATTGTAATATGCCCCTCTGCTAAAATTTTTAGTAAATAAATACTTGATATATTTATCATTTTTGATTGATGGTATTTGAATAAATATTTTATATCGTAAAGTAACAAATATAATTAAAAAAGAAAAAAAAAAGAATCGCTTTATTATTATTTATTGTATAGTAGATAAAAAAAAATAAAGATAATAATTGATGAAAAAAAAATAATTTTAATCGAGCGTTGGTTCACTTGCAATTATGGTGGGTACAGGCGGTCCCCAAGTTATAATAAAGCTAATTTCCGAGAGCACTCGAGACTGCTCGTGTCGTAACATGTTTTGCCTCCATCTCACCACCGCACCACCTAACAAACACATCTCCATACCATCATCGAGCTACACGCCAATACGTTATGGTTTCATCCCTATACTGAATGCTTCCACTCGTACGTCACGTAAACGAGAAGAGCACACAAATATGAAACCATTATTATTATTATTATTATTATTATTATTATTATTATTGTATGCATACATATTTCGGTTTATACTCTATATTAATGTATCAATGTATTAAGCTTCACATTCCCTTTGCAGTATCCAACATATATAAACATAATATTTATACACATATCGTTTTTCCTTCCCCAGAGACGTACTCGTGAACAACTTGCTTATTAAAACGTTTTCATCTCCATTAAGTACCCACACGTTTATCAGCTACTTGATTATTATATATAAATATATTTCTGTTATTCATTTTGGCTTTTATATTATAGATTTTTTGCTCACCTAGTCTTCAAAATCTTGATTTAATTTTTGATGTCGCGCAAAGTATCATAATCATCATTGTTATTAAAATTCGTATGCTAACACGTGTTTTAAATTAACCAAGTACGACAAGACAACTTTATTTAATCTCAAGGAGCTCTTTAGATACTTTTCAATATATAACGTTAGTTGTTTTTAGTATAATTTCGATAGTTGTAAAATAAGGCCCTTTTGTATTTTTCGTTACTGATAATGATTTTCGTTCTTTGGAATTTCATATATTTGGTACTTTGAAAAAAAAAAAAAATATTGATAAAGTCCTCAAAAGCAAAGAAAAGACAAAAGTATATAGTTTAGGAAATGGGAATTAGTTTGAAGATATAGAGTAGATCGATTATACGATCTGTGGATAACGTTGCTCTGATTTATTCCCTTAATGGGCGTTCGCGCATTCATTTTCGGTCGGACGACCAGGCAATTCCAACGAGGCATCGTAGTTGGTAGTTGGTAGTTGGGTTATACGTTTAGCGGTTATACGGCTCATCGCGACGACTATTCTGTCGGTGACAGGAAAACTCTCGGTGGGTGATTCAGCGTTCGGCAGGGTAACGCCTACTAACGTTATCTGCACCGTTATAATCCCATATATCCCATGAACCGGGTATATTCCTATATTCCTATATTCCAACTAATTCTGACTATGTACCATGTACCGTGGTAGTACCCTACTAATGTGGTAACGCGATGGTTACCCCCTAAAAAACTACATGACTTTGATAATATTAATTGCGCACCAAAAACTATATTGTTACCGCTATGTTTTCCAAACACTCGAGCTTTATTAGATATCGTCCGACAATTCAATACCGATTTATAACGATTAAATTAATTCTACTATACCTATACTAATACACAAAGTTAAAATACTATCATGTATATATGTATATATTCCAAATCTAGTTTTAAATTAAAACAGAAAAAAAAATATGTTAAAATAAAAAAAGGAGTGAGGTGTTATTTCAGTTTGTTAAATCCGGTGATGTATTATCTTGGAAATAAACTGCCCATGGCGAATAGAGTACGAACATGGAACTAAATTCGTACACATTCCCGGATGACAGGAATATTCGTATGAGCCCTTGTACTACTCTATATATTCAGAGAACACCCTCCGCCATATCGTATCGTCATCACAATCGTGTCGCTATTGCCATGTAATTTACTGGATTATGCTTACTCCGCTTGTCTTCTCATTCTCGCGTGTTCACACAATTTTCCAACCAATAACTAAATTTTACACAATAATAAATTATAAAAAAATAATATATAGATTTTTTTTTAAATTGTTAACAATGATGAATAAGATATTGCCGTAAATTACACTTGAACCGTTACATATATATATATATATATATATATATATATATATATATATCTGTAATTGTTCATGTATGTATTAGTTCATACGGTGGAAAGGTATAAGGTAGACGAGTAAAGATAAAGCGGACTATACACGCATACATAAAGACACAAACAACGGGCAAGTTACATAAGCTCCTTCAGCCCCTCGAGTCACCTTACCCTTACCCTACTCCCTTACTCCTTTATACTCCCTAACTCACCTATACTTATAGGGATGGATAATATATAGCTATAGCTAGGACGTCTTCACCCTGTAGCCGGTACCTCCACGCTTTTCTTCCATTCCTCCTTATTCTCTCTCGCTCTTACAGATATTCCTTGATACGAGGGTATATATAGTATATTCTATTGGGTTCCATTCCTTGCCCAGTACAGCAGTTTCTAATTTACATTCCCCTCTGTTCGCACTCCCGCCACCCCGTTGTCCGTCTTACAACAACTGTATTCTGCAATGAAGTATAATTCGAATTTATTAGGCAGATAAACTACTTTAATTGTTTACTAAAATTTATTTTATTTTATTTTAACTAGCAACTATGCAGTCACTATGTGACTGCTGTGACCTATGAACTATAAATAAATAAATTTGATTTTTGTTAAATTGCACTGTACTTTCTTAATTATTGAAGATTTTGAAGATATAAGCTCATCCCGATGTTATACTCATCAAGAGCTTTCATTTGAGTACCCACATGCATTTTT